TGAGAAATCCAAACATTTCTCAGATAAATAGATTTCACAAAAATGATGGGCGGATACGGAAACACGGTCGTTACCCTAAACATAAAAGAGATTGACTTTCTTGTGATGATATAGAAACCATTAGAAGTTCACAATAATAGAATCAATCAAATAATGAATGGTTTAACAATCAAGGAACAGTGAAACCCACTCAAATGAGGGTTTGAATATTGAGGTTGGTAGAAGATATTCAAGAAAAGTAATATTTTAAGAAGGCTCTGCTGATAAGAACCAAATTTTTCCATCATATTACAAAAAAAACTTAGCAATTATCATAAGGATCATGGTCATGACATGGAGAAGTGCATACACCTCCAAAGCCCAGTTGAAGAATTGATTGAAGCCAAAAAGCTTAAATAGTTTATGGGCCCAGATGTGTAAACCCAAATGCATTGGAAAGCCCCTACAGAAGATGACTAAGATGAGCCTATCCAGACCAACACTATCTACATAGTAGGGATTATCGTAGCTATACAAGGTAGAGACTCAATCAAAAAGAGTTGACTATTAGAGGCTCCATGCAAGGGAATATTGTGTTGTTTCTTTCGCTTCAAAATGGAAGCCTCATCCCCCAATTATCCTTACTGATGTATATTTGCTCCCCAAAAGGAATTCTCACAATGACTCCATAGTAGTTACTATGAATATTAAAAACTAACAGGTAGGTAGAATTTTGGTTGATAAAGACAGTTCGAGAAACATGTTGTTCAAATCAGACTTTAAAAAAATTCATTTGTTATCAGATGAGCAAGTTGCACCAGCCAACCCATTGTACCGATTTTCTTTAAAATGAAAGGAGGCCTTGGGGATAATTGAGATATCATGCACTTGAGGAGAAGGTGACCGTCAATTCATTAACATTAATGAATTTCAGGTGTTTGTTGAACCTCCACCTTACAATGTGATCATTAACTTCCTGATGCTCAATAAATTTTGAGCCATGGTCTCCTCCTACCACGTGGAGCAAGGTTTTCATGCGATGGGTAGATAGTGTGCGTTTTGTGAAACCTGGAGCAAACTTAGACATGTTACCTCTCGGTAGTCAGTGGTATGGAGCAAGAAATGTTCAAAATTTAAAAGTAATGAAAAGGGGGTCTTAAAATCTATGAAATTACAATCAAGATTGTCATTGCCCTCAAATAAAAGGAAAAAAAATTATAATTATTGAGAGGTTTGATGTTGGGCAAAAGGATTTGCCAATTAAAACCCTCCAAGAGCATCTGGATGTTTTTGTTGGGTCTGAAGCAAAGATGCCAAAAATTATAATAAACATAGCATGCCACCACCTAAATGTCAATTCACTCACGTGGCCAATAAAGGAGAAGATATAAACTTTGGACATGTGTTTTGTCAGACCAATTCTAAAGGAAGTACAGAAGTTCAAGGAGGTGGGCTACATCCGGAGGTGCAATAACTGTCCAAGATCGCCAATGTTCTCATGTTATAGAAGTCAAATGAAAAATAGATAATGTCCTTAGGCTTCTTGAATTTGAACTCTGCTTGACTTAAGGATAGTTACCTCTTATGAGGATCGATGAACTGGCAGATTCTAAAGTCAACTATTCATTAATAAGTTTTCTCTAACTAGCACTTAATCTAGATGCACACAACAGTTGCAGAGAAGACTGCCTTCATCATAAGTCAAGGACTATATTGTTATAATATAATGTTTTTAAGACTAAAAAATGTTGGGGCTACCTACCGAGAACTGATGGATGTAATCTATGTTAAAGATAAAGGAAAACTTATTGAAGTATATGTTAGTGATATCTTAGTTAAAAGTTAGTTGGCAGAACAACATATAAACAATCTAGAAGAAACATTTAAAACACTCAAAAAATATAATATGAAATTAAATCCATTGAAATGTATATTACAGAATCGACCGGAAAATTTCTCAAATAATTTTTGATGCTAAAAGGAATAAAGGACAATTTGGAGAAGGAAAAATGCTCTTGGATTTGCCAACTCCTTGAAATGCTAAGGAAGTGCAAATGTTGACCAATTGGATAACATCCCCTAGCATGTTTGGTTCATCTCAAAGTCAACAAAAAATGTTCAATACTCTTCAAATCAATGAGAAAATATAAAGTTTTGAATGTTCGATTGAATGTGAGCATGCATTCCAAAGCCTAAAAATATGTTCGCCTTGCCTCCACTGCTATAGAACTTGAAACTAAAATAATGAATCTCTTTATATTTGGGACTTTAGCTCAAATCTATTAGTTTGCTCTTTGTCCAGATGAAACTGTGAAAACTATTCCCAATATAATACATTAGTCGGGTCTAAAAAGGCACTGAGGTTAAGTACCCTATTATGAAAAAGCTAACATTTGTTGTAATTGTATCTAATCACAAGCTCTGATCATCTTTCCCAATGCACCTTATCTGATTTATCACTGACCATCCACTCAAATCCATGCTCACATGACATAAACTATCCATGGATCTTGAATTAGGGTGTGCAACTTAGTGAATACAACGTCACCTTCATTCCCCTTCTAACGATCAAAGTTCAGGCCACGACAGATTTCCTAACAAACTTATTTGAACAAAGTAAAATAAGCAAAGGTGCAGATATCAATGACCAATGCTGGACATTGCACATTGATGGAGTCTCAAGTTAGATGAGAGCATAAGTAGGACTAGCACTAATTGACGAGCTAAAAACTTACAATGAAGAAATTCAGTTCCTCATGTAAGTATATGTGTCAAACAATAATGCAATTAAAGAGTAACACATATCAATCCCACAAGGAAAGGATTAAGAAATACTCTAATGGGTGAACCTCTAGTTTACTAATCTTCTAATTCTTGTGTTGTGTGATTACACATAGGAGATGATTTTTGACAATCCAAATAAAATGCAAAAATAGAAGGTAGGAAGGTTGAAAAACACAGAAAATAGCATTAGAAAAATCTTATGGTTAGTCAAGAGATATGAGGCTCACACCCCTATCATTTAGGTATTTTATTAGTTTGTGGTCTTCCTAAACTTTCCCTATGTGACAGTTGTCAACAATGACAGAATGTCCTCCTTAAGTCTACACCTAGGTAAAAAGAAGTCTAGAATTCATGAAGTCAAGGCTTCCTCAACTCCCATGGAATCACCAAATTTATTTTGATGCTTTTTTTAGGCTACAAAACCTGAATAGAATATGTCTATTTTTACTAGGATTTTGTTGTTATCCATTTCATTTTTCTATGCAACAGGCAGGAGTGACAGATCACGACATATGTTAACATCTAAATCATCCAGATCATGATTAAATTAAAATCTGTAGTTAAAACAATAACTTAATCATTAATTTTTCAAGAAATTGATACATGAAAAGTAAAAATCCAAGAAAACCACAAAAACCACACTGCATAAATCACATAAGTGCGAAGCTATGCATGATAGAAAGAACACTTGAAAAATATTCCATAGAAATCATTGATGAAAATAAAATTGAAAGACAATAACATAAATTATAATTTAATCTCTATTCAATAGTAGCAAATCCCTCTCCCATACAATATCTCTCAAAACGTGTAAGAAAATACAATGAAATAGGGAAGGAAAGCCCGTAGGAACTAAACCTCAAGGGAGGAAGAGAAACCCTAATGAAGATACTCTCCAAACCACCACTTCTTCATTTAGTCAGCTGATAATCTCTCCTACTTCTTTTGATGCCACAAAATGCATTTATATAGTCAAATACTCAAACTTAGCAAGAAATTATTTTGTCAAAATAGGTACTGTTCGAATTCGCGATCTGATCATAAGAAATTAAACTCTTTGCTATCATATGGCACTATATCGCTTTAAATCAGAAGATATAATAACAGATAATGTAAATGAATCTTCTAAAAACACATATTTTAAATGTGCAAGTAATACTTTCAGTTCAAATTCAGGTGGTTTAATACTCGAAGGAATAAGATTTTTATTATCATTTCCGTAAGATCCAAAATCTCAAATTTTTTTTGAACATAATCTAAATTCTCGTTTTTTACTTCATTCTCATTCTCATACTCAAAGTTTTCTTCTTCCCTTAATTTTTCTTCAAGCATTCCCTTAAATTATGTTAGCATGGGATTGTTTTGCCAGTTGACTTTATTGCATAACTAAATTGCCGGAAAAGCAAATACAAGTCAAAGTTAGCATGGGATTGTTTTGCAACTTCAATTATATTTTCCATTTAGACATAGATGGCCGCTCTCTGTAGCAACCTCGGATGTTAATGTTTGCATGGAACTTTATGAGTAAGGACCGAGAAATAAAGATAGCTACTTTGATTCTTTTTTTAAGAAATTCAGCGCTAATCAGAGTCAAATCCATAAGCACGGTCCATGAACATTAAGCTATCTCCAAATAAGCCATTCTCGACGCCACCGCCGCCACTCATTTCCTCGTATGCTGGAGCGAACGGCTGATTTAGAAAACAGAGCAGTTGGTTTCTCTGCTCCTGTGACTCCAGCAGTAACCTCTCTGCGTCTTGAATTTGTTCTTGTAGCTCTTCAATGCAACTCTGCAAGTAGAAAATTGCAGTGGTGCACCCATGCACTGGATCTCTAACCCTCGCATATGCTTCGTATATCATGCTTTTTACCGCATCCTCTCTCCATTCTCCCTCGATCATCTACAAGGTCCAATAGACTCATTTTATGTGGGCTACAATTTACAGTTCATGAAAACTGATTGTATGACTAGCGAGCAATTATTGAATATCCTTAAATGTATGTTATCCTATTTAAAGACGGCAGATAGCAAATTTTTTATATTTTGAAGTTGATGAATGATGAGAAGAGATTAGCTCACATGAAGCATCTTGATAACATTACTTGCCCCGAACACCTTGTGCACGACGGAAAATTTGTCGGAGTTGTCCGAAGGAAAGTATGGCGCCAGCATGCAGTCTGTGGTGCAACGGCGGTGGAGGAGGCGGCAGGCCGCACATGGGAGCTCCGGCTTCGCCCAGCATGGGAGTGACTGGAAATCCATAGAGCTCATGATTCCCATATTACAGGAATTGGGAAAAGATGCTTTAAATAATGGTCACGACTCTTGAGGCGGGAGGAGATATTTGCCGTTCCAATGTTGATATGGATGGATGCACAAATTTCTAATGTGCAAAAAAATCAAAGTAAAGTTGTATTCTGGATTTAAGTCTTTTCAGGCTGCCGCTCCACGACAGAGTTAGGAAGAGAAATACGAGCACTGTAGACAATTTAGTTGTCTTAGTTTTATTATGTGATTACGTCAGGAAATTGAAGTTTATCTTCTGTTTAGCCCCTTATAAGGTTTTGTGGATTGAGCTTTTTTACCTATAACTCTCCACGCTTGAGAAAATTTTATAAAAGAAGTTCTAACATTAGTTTTCACATTCCGAGGTTTAGGTTCTTTAGCAGAATCATATAATTAACTTGATTCAAGAATGCTCTGATTTCCTTGAGTTAAAGTTGTAACGTTGCTTTTAATGCTTTCTCCCTGGTAACTTGGCCCTAGTTACTTATGAATTGCTGCCGTAACAAGAGTTAAAAATTTATTTTCTTCAAAACACACACACACACACACATACATACATAAACACATATATATATATATAGGTATATATATATGTATATATATATATGGATATGTACATATATATATATATGGATATGTATATATATATATATTATGTATGTATGTATGTATATGTATATGTATGTATGTATGTATGTATATATTTTTCTTAGGAAATCCTTTTGGGGCATTTTCATACATACCAAACAATTCTTATGTATTTATATATCAAACAGTGAAGCAACTCTATTTATATGAATACCACTCAAATCTGTTGCATCACTAAAAAAATAACACTATCACTATATTTTTAAGTGATACACAATTTTGTGCATAGGTGTAAGAGACCGAAGTATTATAATCATAAATACCAAATGTTGGTTTTTGGATTTGTAAATACATAAGAATTGTGTATTATGCATGTAAACTTTCACATCTACTAATTACTACTTGAAACTAGAAAATACAAGATGTGTCATCAATAAATTTTTATGTCCATGCAAGAATCTCGAAGCATTTTGATCTAGAAACATTTCAAGTTAAAATTTAAGATCATTTGGGCCTCAATTTAAATAAATTTATAGAAAATGAGAGCATCTTGATAAGACGAACCCAATGACAATGTACAATCTGAGATAAAAATACCCTAGATCAAGCCATCGAAGCACAAATGGAAACTTTGGATTTTCAAATGACTGGACAAGTAAACTCCAATTTTGATTTATCTATAGCCGAGTTGAGCATCTCGATTAGAGAAATTAAATGAGCCTAAGATCACTTAATTCTGAGGACAATAATGTACCCAAATTCTTGAAAACCCACCTATGATCAAAGGGATGCACATGGACAGTCCGAAAATGTTGTTAGGGAAGTTATGCACCAAAATATCAAAATGACCATCTCTTAACTATAAATAAGTCCACTTTCTTCACTTGCGGGGGAGTTGGGGGGTGGGGGGAATGGTAAAAGAAGAAAATGATAAGTGAAATTCTAGATAATGTTCTGGTGAGAGGACACAACGAGTAACCATCGACCACTATCACTGCCAGTTGTAGTTGACCTTTGCTCTCCATCTCAACCTTCAGCCACAACCCAGTAGTTGTTGGTAACCACAAATCAAAAGCATTGTAGCAAAACTACGACCTTTCTTGAATTTCTTGACAATTGTATTTTTTAGCTATATAAAAAAAGTGTAATTTTTTAGTGTACTATTTTTCTTATGTTTTTCCTCTCGCGGGAGGAAGGCATATCAATGTACTTACAAACATATAGTAGATTTCTTTGACAAAGCCAATCTCCATAATTTTATCCCTTTTTTAAATGTTTTTTTCAAGTAAAAAAATATGTCTTATCCTATGTGTGTGTGGCGGATCTTTATACAACACTAAAATAATAATTGTCACTCTACCTCAATGAATTTACTGGCACTTAAGAGTTTAGCACAACCTTTGGGAAACAAGGTTTCATTTATAGAAGTTTACGTTTGTTCAATGGCTAACAAACAAATAACCTGGCCTTCTTGATTTTTTAATCACCATTCTAGGGTACATTCTCATACTCTGAGAAGCCAAGTCCCTGCTTCATTTTCAAATATTATACATCACCTGACAAGCAAAGTGACCTCCTTTGCACCTCTTGATTGTATAAGAAAAATAGAGCAATCTCAAAATGAGATCCCCTGATTTTTATATCAGGCCTGACAACCTGTCGAACTGCAAATTTTAGAGGTGAAATTAGCTAAAAATCCTTTATTCATAGGTACAAAATTAGCACTCCCTCCACACAATGAAGTTTCTAATCGTGAAGTTGTCCTCATGGACACTGCTTGTGCTACACATCTATCCCACGAAGTCAAGTAAAAAAATGTAAACCTCCAACATGTGTGAAGAACTTTGCTTAACCTCATGGAATCTATGAAGTTTGAAGTCTATTACAAGAAGAGTTCCCTCTATGGGATATAATTAGTTATATGCTAGACATAGTTCTCAAGATTCTTCTCATTTGCATGAGATGGTCTTTGAACACCCTTTTCCAATAGAGTTCGGGCTTCAATGCATATTTGATTCTTATAATGGGAGGTCTAAACAATTTGAACGTTGAGATAATTATAGAACTATCATACACATATGAAGAGATTATGATGTACTCTATAATATTTCTAGTTTCATAAACACGTCTCAATTATCAGCCTCCAAATCTACTTGCATTACATTTGTACTAATGTCATGATCTTACTAATGGAACATGTCATTAACTTAAGAAAAAAATAAGAAGGCTAAATTGGTAAAGATATTTGGATTCTTTCCAAAAAATAACCTGGCTTCTGTAGATAATACACCCACTGGGGTTAACAATTCAAAAGTAGCAATAAAAAAGCTATCAATTACCTTTCTCGAGTATGGCTATAATCATATTTTCAAGAAAAATTACAGTCCATCTTGATCTATGTCCTAGCCTAAAAAAATGATAAACTTTTATAGTAACTCATTTAGAGCTTAGTCATACCCCAGGGATGACCTTATTCAACTTTATTCCCTTAGGTTAATTACATCAAATGTCCTTGGTGGATTTCATTCGACTTTGTTTCCATAAGATAACACTGTTAAAAATATCCAATAGATAACCTGAGGCTGCTGAAACCTCCTTGATGAATTTCATTTAACTTTGTATGCCCATGTTAATGTTATTAAACATCTCAGATAGATAACCAAGAATTGGTGTAATATCCTTGGTTGATTTCATTTAAGTTTATTCACATCGGTTGATGTAGTCAAGAATCTCTATAAAAAACCTAGGATGGGTATAACTTACTTAGTTGATTTCATTCAACTTTCTTGATATAGGTTAATGTCATCGAACATCTCAGATCAATAACCTAGGATGGTCTTACACTCTTGGTGATTAGTTTTCTTACTTTATCTACAAAATTTAATGCCATTGAACATCTATAAGAGAGTCAATGACAATTCTAATAGTAATGATGGATTTATTTGACTTTACCCTCATAGGTTAATCTCGTCAAACATCGCTGATAGAAACTAGGCTCAATCTAATATCCTAGTAATATTTCATTCC